ATCATGAAAAGGAAAAAAGGGTAAAGTAACCTTGTGTTGATTGTTCTCTAAATAGAACTTTTCTTCTTCCGCATGTAGAAAAGGAATAAATAAATTAATCAAATTTCGGGAGGCTTCGTGAAGTGCTTCTTTAGGAGTTAAACTTCCATTTGTCCAGATTTCTAGAAAAAGTATCTCTTGTTTTTCATTCCCAGTCCCATAAGAATGAATACTATGATTCGCATTTTGAACAGGCATGAATACAGCATCGATAGGATAACTTCCGTCTTGAAAGTTATTTGGCGTTTTTATACCATATCCTCGATTTCTCTCGATTTGTAATCCAATACGCAAATCAATTGGCTCCGTTAGGCTAGCTATATGCTGTGTATTATCAACGATTTCCACAGAGGGCGGTAAAACGATGTCTTGAGCAGTTACATATCCGGGACCTTTGACACAAATAAAGGCGTCGCGAGTTCCATACAGATTACTTCTTAATACAATCTCTTTCAAATTCATTAAAATTTCATGTACTGATTCTTGAATACCTACTATGGTAGAATATTCATGTGGTATTTTCTCAGATTTTGCACGTGTAATACATGTTCCTTCTATTTCTCCAAGCAAAGCTCTTCGCATCGCAATGCCTATTGTGTCGGCTTGACCTTTCATAAGTGGAGACAGAATAAAACGTCCATAATAAAGACGCTTACTGTCTGTTCTTGATTCAACACACTTCCACTGTAGTGTCCGAGTAGATACTTTTACTTTCTCTCGAACCATAATAATATTATTTGATCAGATCATTGAATCATTTATTTCTCTTGAAATCTTTTCAGTCTTTATTTCTATTTCTACACACGTCTTTTTTTAGGAGGTCTACACCCATTATGTGGCATAGGGGTTACATCCCGTACGAAACTTAATAGTATACCACTTCTACGAATAGCTCGTAATGCCGCATCTCTTCCGAGCCCAGGGCCTTTTATCATAACTTCGGCTCGTTGCATACCTTGATCCACTACTGCTCGAATAGCATTTCCCGCTGCGGTTTGAGCAGCAAAAGGCGTCCCTCTTCTTGTACCCCGGAATCCACAAGTCCCGGCAGAGGACCAAGAAATCACCCGACCCCGTACATCTGTAACAGTCACAATGGTATTGTTGAAACTTGCTTGAACATGAATAACTCCCTTTGGTATTCTACGTGCATTTTTACGTGAACCACTGCGTACATTCTTACGCGAACCAACTCTTGGTATAGGCTTTGCCATATTTTATCATTTCATAAAGATAAGTCAGAGATATATGGATATATCCATTTCATGTCAAAACAGATTCTTTTTTATTTGTTTATTGGTTCTTTTATGGAAGTCCCTTTTAGTTTTAGAAAAATTATCCTTGTCTTTGTTTATGTCTCGGGTTGGAACAAATTACTATAATTCGTCCCCTCCTACGGATTAGTCGACACTTTTCACAAATTTTACGAACAGAAGCTCTTATTTTCATAGTTGTTATTCCTTAACTTAATTCCGAATTTCCTTATTGGAAGAAAATAAGTTTCTTGAAGTTTTTGAACCTTGAATTGTATCCGCATGAAAAGAATGTTGAAAAACCCATCTAATCATTTGAATCCTTGTTGTGGAGTTGATAAATTAGATGGCCCCTGGTTGAATCATAAGGACTTACCTCAATTTGGATTTCCCTAGTATACGTATAAAACTCTGTTGGATCCTTCCTGAAACATAACCTAGAATCAGATCTTTATTATCTAAACCAACCCGGAGCATGCCATTTTGAAATGGTTCAGTAATTAACCCTTCATGAATTCCTTATTTTTTTTTCATTCCAGGTAAAACCCCTTAAAGTATCAACTAATGTCGGAGGAGTGATATTAGGCAACCCTTCTTTTTTTCTACAAATGGGAAGTCCGGATACAATTCGGATATCAGAAAGATTACCATATAAAACACAAAATCTCTCCGCCGATTCCTTCTCGTCGAGCCTCTCGGTCTGTCATTATACCTCGAGAAGTAGAAAGGATTACAATCCCCATCCCACCTAAAATTCTCGGAATTTGTTGATAGTTAGAATAGATTCGTAGACCAGGGCGACTGATCCGTTTTAAATTTAAAATAGTTCTATATGGTTCTTTCCTATTTCGTCTATGTCGTAGGGTTAAAACCAAAAAATATTTGTTGTTTTCCCGATGTTTCCTTACGTTTTCGATAAAACCTTCTCTTAAAAGTATTTTAACAATGTTTTCGGTGATGTTAGTAGATGCTATCCGAACCGTTCCCTTTCTATTCATGTCAGCATTTCGTATAGAGGTTATTATATCAGCAATAGTGTCCCTACCCATGATAAACTAAAATTATTGTTGCCCCCGAATTTTGATATAATCAACATGTTCTTTTTCTTTCTATTCTTTTTCTTTATATATTTATATAATTTATATATATATATATGAATTATATTAAATATATATTATATTAATATATGAATGAATAAAATTAATATATTGAATATTATATTAATATTAATAAGGGTATATGCGTGAGACATAATCTACTAATTAATCTATTTGATTTAAAGACTGACTATAACTATATTCAGGTCTCATCTTATAATACCTCAGGAGCTAATGAAACTATTTTAGTGAAATTTAACTGTCTCAATTCCCGGGGGATCGCACCAAAAATTCGAGTTCCTTTTGGATTTCCTTCTTGATCAATGACAACTGCGGCATTGTCATCATAGCGTATTATCATCCCATTGTTACGTTTGAGTTCTTTACAAGTACGTACAATTACGGCTCTGATCACTTCGGATCTTTCTAGAGGCGTATTTGGTACTGCTTCCTTGATCACAGCAACAATAACGTCACCAATATGAGCATATCGGCGATTACTAGCTCCTATGATTCGGATACACATCAATTCTCGGGCCCCGCTGTTGTCTGCTACATTCAAATGGGTCTGAGGTTGAATCATATCATTTTTAAAAATCTGTTCTTTAAATGCAAAGGACGAAGTAAAAAAAAAAAAGAAATATTGTTTGTCAAAAAAAAGAAAACTGCAATTTTTTTATCTCTAAGACTTCTTTCTTTTGTGATTCCACATTTCTATCCCGAAATAATGAATTGAGTTTTTATAGGCATTTTGGACGCCGCTATTGAAATAGCCCTTCTAGCTATATTTTCGGCTACTCCGCTCATTTCATAAAGTATTCTACCCGGTTTAACGACAGCTACCCAATATTCGGGAGATCCTTTCCCCGAACCCATACGTGTTTCCGTCGGTCTTAGCGTAACTGGTTTGTCTGGAAATATGCGTACCCATATTTTTCCACCACGGCGTATATTTCGTGTCATTGCTCGTCGCCCTGCTTCGATTTGCCTAGATGTGATCCAAGTGGGTTCAAGTGCTTGCAGAGCATATCGGCCGAAACAAATACGATTACCTCGATAAGATATTCCTTTCAGTCTTCCTCTATGTTGTTTACGGAATCTGGTTCTTTTTGGGTTATAGTTGATGGTTGTTTCGAAATTCCATCTCTACTACAGAACTGGACGTGAGAGTTTCTTCTCATCCAGCTCCTCGCGAATGAAAGGACTAAAAAAGATTGTATTAAGATATACATGTAGTTTATGAATAATAGACTTCATCATGTGATTCTTTGAGATTTTATCTAATCTATTCTAAATTTGTATATCTTTTTTGGAAATAGAATTCATTTTTTAATTCTATTTATGGATAATGTAATGTCGTTTTTGTTGGAGTTATAATGTTATAACGAATCGTTATTTTGTTTGCCTTTTTTTATTTTATCATATTGAATCGACCAAAATTGATCAATTCAATAAAATAAACTTTTCGCGGGCGAATATTTACTCTTTCAATATCTATTTCGGTTTTAGGGCTAGCCCATGACCTCTCAGAATCAGAATAAGAATAGATAAATTGGTTTCTGGTTTGTTCCGCCATCCCACCCAATGAATCATTAGGATTCATTTTCAATAGAATCTTATGCATTCATGGGTTCCGTCGTTCCCATCGCTTCTTGATTAATGTTTAGGTCTGAATTCTACAATGGAGCCCCTAATGAAATTTCTTAATTTGTTCTTGAGTCAATCTTCTCAGTTTTTATTGGCTCAAGGCTCTTCATTTTTTTTTTATAGTTCTATGAACAGATTTATATAATTATGCATGAATCTGTATTGATGCTTTATTACATTGCCCTTTAGGAGATGATCTCATAGACCTTACATATCGGAATCATATATCATTGATATTTGTTTTTTTCTCTTTCTCTCATACTTCCATTTATCTGCATACTTTTCGATTTTGCTTCACAACTTATAATTAGATTTCTTTTTCTTTTTTTTTTTTATGGAAAAAAAATTCAGTTGCTACAATGATATGACCAATATATCATATCTTGACTGATTCTTTGGATCCAGATAATGCGAAGCAATGAGTTGGTTATTCGTGCTTGCTATAGCTATTAGTTCCTAATATAATTATAGGTCAGTTCATTTTTTTGAATTCTAATGCTAAAAATAAAAAAAAAACCAACGAGTCGCACACTAAGCATAGCAATTATATCAAAGGATCAATGGAATTTTTATTCAACCTTATAGAATTGTAGAATTGATCATTTTTTTTGATTGAACATAAAAAAAGAATGAAATAATTTGTCTTTTTTTTTATCACTGGATAGAACGTAAAGACAAGTAAATTCTTTTTATTCTTCGTCTACGAATATCCAAATTTTGATTCCTAATACCCCATAGATAGTTCGAACTCTATAGCAACAATAATTTATTTTAGCCTCAATGGTTTGTAGAGGAACCCTACCTTCTCTGATCCATTCAACACGTGCAATTTCTTTTCCGTCGATACGCCCTGCAATTTGCACTTGAATCCCTTTTGTATTCGCCTGCTCGGTTAATTCAATAGCTTTTTTCATTGCTTTGCGAAACGAAACTCTATTCTTTAATTGTCCGGCTATAAATTCCG